ATTTTTTTTTTTTTGAGACAAGTTTTGCTATGCAGTTCAGGTTGGCCTTGAACTCACTTTGTAGCCCAGCTGGCCTCAAACTTGCAGGGATCCTCCTGCCTCAGCCTCTCTCCAGTGCTAGGATTATAGGCATGAGCCACCAGGCTCTAAATACTATTTAAATGCTTAGTAACATATAGGCTGTTAAGTTACTTAAACTCAATTTCTCCATCTGTAAAAATAAGTAAAAGTACTGATAAAATTGTTGTGAAGATAAAAGGAAATCATACAGGTGGGACACCCAGCATAGTACACTGTAAGAAGATAGCAAATTTGGTAGCTACTAATGTGATTATCATGAATGTTATTTTAAACTCCAGAAACTACTATCTGTAGAACCAGATTTGACAGTTGATTCAGTGATCATCAATCTTGTTGACAATCAATTTCCTTTATTCAAAACTCATTCAATCTGATCAGCTAAAGAGAGCATTTGTTAATATACAGTTAAAAATGCAAGTGATCACAAGTAGTAGAAGTGGTAATCAGAAGACAGTCTGGGTTGTAGGTGTCTAACCAGCCTTTTTCATAAAGTGGAGTCCTATCCTGGGTATCAGAACACTCATGACAGCTTATTCAAACTTCTAATGTGGGGGCTGGGGATTTAGCTCAGCGGCAAAGCGCCTGCCTGGCAAGCGCAAGGTCGTGAGTTCGGTTCCCAGTACTGGAGAAAAACCAAAACCAAACCAAACCAAACAAAACAAACTTCTAATGTGATTTTTTTCTATTTTAATATACAATGTTGATTTTCCTAAAAATTATAGCACTGGTAGTTCATACATATAATTTACCAACTAATCACAAATAACATGCCAATTGGATAGAAAATGTACATAAGAAATCTCCATAAATACAAATTCCAACAAAGCATACAGAATGGCTTTTTTGGAGTGGAACTTGTCCTCACAGAATTTCAAAAAATTCAGGCTAAGTATTACTGAGTCAAAGTACTCCAAGTTATATATTTAGTCTTTATCCTAAGAATACTCTCAGAAAGTACTGCTCATAATTTAATTTTTCCAACAAACCACGAACACATCCCATGATTCTATATAACAGAGAGGACATTACTATTAGGACAGAAGAAATCAGTATGTAGTATAAATGAACTGAGTCTACCATATTATAATTTCAATAGGCGTTTAGAGAGCAGTTTCAATATCAATGTGATGAGTTAAAGTCTGGATTACTTCATTACAAAGATAAAAACAAAAAGTCATATATTTTTAACCCTTTCCAATATGAAAATAAAACAGAATCTAAAACCTATTCACCTACTGTAAATTCGTCAGGCTTTAAACTTTTAGAGTAGTAACTTTTGAACCATACAAATAGTTACATTTGAATACATTAAAGAGTTACTCTGTAGTTTTACTAAGTGACCTGACTAAAAAAAAAAAAACCTGGCAACTCAATGAAGCTCTAAGAACTGTGTGCCTACTTCATATACCATTGCACTGTGCTGAACTGGTATCTGGAGACTGTATGGAGCTAGCTACCTGAAAGCAAAGGAAGGAACTGACGGAAAGAGTTTATTAAAAAAAGAAGAAGAAGAAGAAGAAGAAGAAGAAGAAGAAGAAGAAAAAGCACTATCCTTAACACACCCACTACCTATGGAAACAGCATTTTAAAATACACACATTTCTTGTCCTACCACTTTGTCTGTAATTCGGTAAGTCCTCCTACTACTAACATGTTATCCTTCTTTCACTCTTTAAAATAAAAAATAAATAAATAAATACACACATTTCTAATTTTCCAACATGTAAAATATAGCGAAGGGGTATTCTACCACAGGCAGATCTTCCTACTCCTTCTCACCCCCACACAGTGTTTTGCCAAGAGCACAGCCCTAAGTAAAATAAGCCATGCAATTTCCTTGTTTACTTAAAGAATTGCAGAAAACATGTTGACTGCTTCCGAGGCTTTTTGAAACCAATCAATATTTAAAAGACTTTTAACGATCACGTTTGAAATAGGAGAGTAGTAATAATTCCTTCAGCTTTTAAAAAAATCTAGTTTTAAATTTACAAAAAGGGTTAAATCTTACACTGCAGTTCATCAGTATGCCTTGTTTGCAACCAGAAGAGGAAAAAGAGGGGAGAACAGCAAAACACACAAGATGGAAAATATCACTACCTCCTTTGGTGGTTATGAATAATTGTAAATGGCCCAAGAGGTCAGGGAAAAGAGTTCATGAATAGAAAGAAGGGGTGTTAACAATGTAAGCTGGTCCCTTCCAGATTCACACTGATGTCGGAGAGAAAAAGGAATTTATTTACACTGCAGTGTCTGGCAGCAAACATGGCTGCCCCTGCCCCCTTTAAATCGGAATAGTCTTCATTCCCTCACCAAAACCATCAAATTATGGCCATGTCTGTGTCTTCCTCACAAAACACAAACACATCTTCTCTTCCCTGAAAACAGTAACACCCACACCTCCCCCATTTCACAACAATCACAACCATACCCACTAGCTTCTCTATCTCCTACCTTGAAATAAAAGGCTGGAACACACAGAAATATAGGAACAAAAGGCATTCCTTCTAACACTTTAACAACCTCCGTCCCCTTCTTTTCCTCCCACTCTGTGACGCTTGGTCGATCCTTCTCACCCTTTCAACATTGAGTTAATTGCCTTCCCTAGCCCAATTCTACGTCTTCCAGTTTCCTGCGTCTATTTCCAATCCTCCCGTTGCATCTTGCCTCAATCATTCTCATTCTTTTTCTTTTCTAATCAATTTTTTCCTCCACTTTCAATTCCTTTATTTCTCCGTTTATTCCCAAAAGACATCCCGTTTCCCCATCAAATTCTGCCCTCCTCACCCAGTCTCCTGGTTCCCACACTCCACCCCCGACCACCGCAATTCGAGTCATCCAGGTCCCTAACCTTCTTCAAATCTAACTCTTCCCCTCTTCCCCTGCCCCTCCCCCGTTCCCATCTTTATCCCCGCCCCCATCCCACCTCTACTCCCAGTTCCCAGATCAGCGCCACTACATCCCTCATCCCAATCCAGCTTCCCCTGAGCCACCCCCCAATTCCCTCCACACCCCCACCTTGCCATCTGCTCTTCCTTCTAGACTCCCCTCGAACCTTTCGGGACACCCGCTCTCCTCCGTCCCTGGGTCACCCCCTCACCCTTGCCCCATCCTTAGGTCACCCCCTCCCCACCGTGCCCTTCCACGCGACACGCGCGCGCGCGCGCGCGCACACACACACACACACACACACACACACACACACTCGAGCGCGCACTTTACCTTCAGTTTGTTCCATTCTAACCCCCGGGCCGTGTCAGCGCGATCACAGGAGAGACGCGGAGGCCCGGAGTGGGGCTGGAGTACGGGCAGGGGCTGCGGCCGCGGGGGGGAGGAGACAGAACCAAGCTAGGCCGCATGAAAGCCCGGGACTAGATTTCCCCTGCGCCGGGCGCCCCTGCCATAGCGGCCGGCACCTAGGAAGGCCACGGCCGAGCCCGGCCGGGCGCGCTGCGGTAGGAGCAAGGCTGCAGGAGGTAGCGTGGGCGGGTAGGCGGCGGGACCGGGGTCGCCGTGCCGCTGCTGGTGCCCGAGCAGAGCCTGAGGTGACGGCCCAGGGGGCAGCGGGGTCCTCCGGGCTCGCTCGGAGTCCGCGCGCCCTCCGCGGCAACCTGCGCAC